AACACAGTGTTTCTTACGCCTTACTTCCTTTGTTTCCATTGTCTTTGATTCTACACTCGAAGTTTACTTTCACTTTACATAAACCTAATCTCAACTCTACCTATGAGGATGTTTAGTTGTTAGCATATTATTTGTGTTATTAATGTCCTCATTACGTTAAGATATTGACGTATTATTTACCTATAACACAAACACAGTGTTTCTTACGCCTTACTTCCTTTGTTTCCATTGTCTTTGATTCTACACTCGAAGTTTACTTTCACTTTACATAAACCTAATCTCAACTCTACCTATGAGGATGTTTAGTTGTTAGCATATTATTTGTGTTATTAATGTCCTCATTACGTTAAGATATTGACGTATTATTTACCTATAACACAAACACAGTGTTTCTTACGCCTTACTTCCTTTGTTTCCATTGTCTCTGGTCTTACGTTCTTTTGAAATACAATATTACTCTCATTATGTACATATTTTTCTCTTTATAGGCTTAACGATGCTCGTACCCTACTTGCTAACAACACGATCTCAGTGGCGTTCTTATGATCTTCGGGTGTTTTCAGTTGTCCACCAGGAGAATGAACTAGATCGAGCTCAGTTAAGGTATTCAATAGAATGGATTTGATATATTTAACAAAAAACGCAAAAAAGTGTTTACTTTGTTCTAATAATTGTCTAAAAATGCAAAATCGTCATTACCATACCTATATTTGGTTGTGTTATTATTTCAGACAAATAGTCATCAGAACTTTTATCAACTACGTTGAATACTTGAGAACTAGAAAATCAGTATTAATGTGCCGAATCCGTTGCTTCGCAGATCGTCACTAGAGAGGTTTGAGTACGTTATATTAAATTTCTTTTAGCCTCACCACGCGGTTACAGTCTATGTCAACACGTCCGGTCATACTCTCTCTGACACCCGTGTTCTTGGCAATAGCCCTGCAACGTGATTTCCAATGTTAAAAGCTTCGTTGTAAGGCTGTCATATTCAAAGCACACTACTCTTCCCTTATGGATTTCATATTCCATTTGTATACGAGGATGACTGTTTCCCAGCGCCCAACCGTCAGAAATCCTTAGGGACATCATCTGGCGACTTGAGGTATGCGAACGTTGAACGGGAGGTATGAGTGGAATCTCTATTTAGGTGAACCCATAACCTGTTGGGTTCGTTTTCAAGCACAGTCTCTTCATGATTATTTTGCTTACTGTTGATTTGTGTAAGTGGACGGCTTTTGACATTGACCTTTTGTGTTTGTGGGTTTTCACCTGTTCCAAGACACCGTATCTTGCTTACCACGGCTGGGTTACGATTTGTTGCAGATATTTTTAGGAATCATACTGCAAGAAGTTGATTCATATTCCTTTGTTTTCCAATGTCATTAAGTACAAGTCTTAGAAAGTCCAAATTCTCGATCTGATCACATATTTATGATCTGAGTGTATGAACATTTCCCATTAGAAATGGCTATTGGATACCTTTCCCAAATGCGATCAATGTTTGATGGTATGACTACTTATGAAATATCAAACAATGTCAAAATGTAGTGCTGATACTAGGCTTTCCACCCTAATTTTATATCGGTTGTGGCTATCATGTGACTTGCCGACTTGCTTATTCAACATCGTTTTAATACAACATACTCAACCTTCTGTAGAAGCTGGATCAGCTTAGCGTAGAATCTTAAGTATGAATCAATATAAAACTACCATACAAATGGCATGTACAAGATGATATAGAATAATCTTATCAGCACTTATGTCTCTCCAGAATTTAATACTAATATCGTTATTTATATGTTTTCTTTGTATTCTGAAGAAGTGATTCTTTGGCAATATATTAAGTTATGCATTCTTTAATTACAGTAATAATTTTATTTGATATTTAAAAAAATCAAAGGAGGATGTTTCATCATTTTTGTTTCAGTTTAACAGCTTTACTGAAAAAGTTTCGGATTGATACGTCTGCTGTTACTGTCTTATACGGAGCAGGTGAACCTCCTAAATTAGAAAGGTGAGAACAGTCTTGCTTTTAAACATTAGGTCCACTGGTATGTCTTGTTCATTAGTTTTGTTGTTTTATTTAAGTTCTGAGAACAAAATTATAGAAGAGTTGCCATCATTATAAAAGAGTGTTAGCAAATAAACTATTCGTATCGTTTCAACTTGTCGGCTACACAGATTTTAAGTTCGTGGAACATGTTTCATTCTTTTCTTTTTGTTTTCTGAAATCACTGTTTTTATCAAATTTTATCAATCAAACACTATTTTATGATAAACAAGTTATTTACTTCTCGTTCTTCTCATATTTTGTTCGTGTTAAATAGTAACTGTAAGTTCGTATGAATTATTTACAGTAGGTAGTATTGTTATCGTAGTCAGTTCATAGGTTTCAACTCACTTCTTATTTATATGTACACACGAACTTACTTTACAGTGTAACAAAATACAATGTTACATTGTGTTCGGCACATGGAAGCTTGTTTGTATATAGAATGCATATGTTCTGTCGAAATAATCCTTAGGCTATGCAGTGACACAGGTTTCATACTTTAGGTTATAATCATGTATATCTTAACGATAAATAAAAATACAATACAATAGAATACATAGACCACTGTTACCGGTACGCTGTTTTACATCAACCAATGTACACACTGGTAGTAATAACAATGACCCCGAGAGGAAACCACTATATATTTGCATGCACGGCCTTTTCCCATGTTCAAGAAGTCAATCCTTCCCTAGAGGAAACCACTATATATTTGCATGCACGGCCTTTTCCCTATGTTCAAGAAGTCAATCCTTCCCTAGAGGAAACCACTATATATTTGCATGCACGGCCTTTTCCCATGTTCCAGAAGTCAATCCCTCCCTAGAGGAAACCATTATATATTTGCATGCACGGCCTTTTCCCATGTTTCAGAAGTCAATCCTTCCCTAGAGGAAACCATTATATATTTGCATGCACGGCCTTTTCCCATGTTTCAGAAGTCAATCCTTCCCTAGAGGAAACCACTATATATTTGCATGCACGGCCTTTTCCCATGTTCAGAAGTCAATCCTTCCCTAGAGGAAACCACTATATATTTGCATGCACGGCCTTTTCCCATGTTCCAGAAGTCAATCCTTCCCTAGAGGAAACCACTATATATTTGCATGCACGGCCTTTTCCCATGTTCCAGAAGTCAATCCTTCGCTAGAAGGAAATCGCTTATATTTATGTACAAGTTGGTAAACAAATTAGTAAGTAATGTTTGTTTGAATTTTATGAAACTAATAAAAAATGGTTAAATAACGCTCATATTCACATATATGTTTAGAAATTCGTAAGAATAATAGGATTTTTTTTGTAAATTAAGTAAATTATTCAGGTTTTCAAGAAACAAAGTTTTGAGTATTTTTTTTAAAACCGAGGGCGAAATTAGCACGGTTTTTCGTATTATTGATAAATGGCACCTAACTGCTTATAAGCTGTGCTATATTTTTAGTAAAGATGTTGTTGTTTTGATAGTTTGGATTCCAGTTAAGTGCTGATAATACAACACTTACGTTTACTTTCTCCATACAATAATCGATTTAATTGTTTGTTTTGTTATTAAACGCAAAGCTACACATTGGACTAGCTGCGCTGTGTCCACCGTGAAGAATCAAGCACAGGATTTTAGCGTCCCACTGTACCACAAAATAACACATTTGTAGGGTAAGGGAGATAAGTTAACAAT